CGATACTCATCCCAGTATACTGCGGTCTTTTTACGCCGTGCCCGGTTAAATAGTTTGCGAAGAGTCTTCCCAAGGTTCCGGATCTCCCCAGTTACCCAGGGTTTTTCCTGGGCAGATCTCCGCTCTCGCAGAGGGCAGCTGTCCTCGAACGATTCAACCAGGGCACTTGTGAACGTTTCCACTTTGGCATCTATATCCTCTTTATTTCGACATTGAAAAGTATCCTGACCTAAACGGTTCTTTAGTAAGGCCCCGAACATTGTCCAATTAGTTTTAGACTTATTCCGAAACTTTATCGGCTTTGGTGGTGGCCTTAGTATTTTGAATCTTATGTACCGATGATCAGAAAAGGAGTGCTCGTCCGAAACTCTCCAATCCTGAATTTCGTTTATAAGCTCTTCTGAACATATAGTTATATCTAATACTTCTTCTCTGATTCTATTGACGAAGGTAGCTTTATTACCTAAGTTCAATGTTATCAAGTCTTTAGTATTAAAGAAATCCATGAGGGCTTGTCCCCTGCGATTGGTGTTTGTACTACCCCAAGCTACATGATGCGAGTTGGCATCACAACCTATTACAATTTTCTTATTTTTCCTTTGTGCCTCTTCAACCAGTTTCATCAGATCCGACGTTGGTGGTAGGGTCGGAGAATCGAAAGGCAGGTAAATAGATGCAAGGAATATGTTGCCTCGACCTTGCTTCAGCACCGTTGCATCCGATGTTGATAATCCTGTTGAGAGGAGAAAACATAAGTTCTTGTGACATAAGATACATGTTCTCGGGCGAGATCCTGTATCAGCGTAGAAAAGTTGGAAATTTACGTGATTTAATCCAGAAACCTTGTTGCGAATCGTCCAAGGTTCCTGGATTAAAGCTATATGTATTTTACCTGTGTTGATTTTAGCCATCAGAGCGTTGGTAGCTGTCTCGCTCCGATGGAGGTTTATTTGGATAACCTCAATCATGGTCATCCATTAAACTGTCTTCCAGCGAGTTGGTGGTCACCTCCTCGCTCTTTGGATTTGACTCCTCCGGATAGCCTGAAGTGGCTATTAATGCAGTGAGTACTGTTGATGGCACTGCGGTGTCCTTATCAGGCATAGGAATAGCAGTATTTTTAATAGACACATTCCCAATTCTGGAGAGCATTGCTGTTCTGTCTTCTGGCGGGTGAGTGATTTCCTCCTCGCTTTTAGGATTTGACTCCTCAACATTGCTAGTACTTGCTAATGATGCTTTGGGTACTGTCTTAGGTGTTTTAGCCCTTTCAATCGGCGCCTTCCCAATTTTGGAAAGGGCAACTACACTTTCTTCTGGCGAGTTAATGGTAAATTCCTCGATTTAGGATTTGACTCCTCAACGTTATCAGTAGTGGATACTGTGGTCTTAGGTTTTTAGTGTCCTTTTCGAGGCTTGTTGTAACAGCCCTTCCAATCGGCACCTTCCCAATTTTGAATATGACAGATTTAGAGGCGAAGTAAGCCCTACCTTTATTCTTGGCAAGACTAGCCATGGATTTCTGGTCGATACCTATTACAAATAAAGTTCCCTCAGGTTCTTCTTTCCTGTAAAAGACATCCCATTTTTCCACGGCCAGCTCAGCATTTTGACCTCCAAGAATTTCCAGTATACGTTCATTAGCCAGTTTACTGCCCCATCCTTTTATGTAGACAGTGGACTTTAGGAGCACCGGAAGCTCGCTCTTCTTTGCCAGTCCCAGCCTAGCGCCGTCCCAGGGAGGAGGGATACTTTCCACCAAGTTCTTTAGGGTGCTAACACATTGGTGAGATGCCAACCTCATCAACATCACGCCCATGCTGAACTCGCAGCTCTCGCTCTCTATTGGTTGTTGCCCTTTGAAGCTATTGCATGGTCCACTATCTTATTGTTGACCAGGTCTTCTATTTTACTCTGTTGGTCTATTGGAATTTTGCCTGTCGGATTACCGGCATCGTAAACTGCATAGCAGAGATCGTCCCGGTGCCTACTTCTGGCAACTTTGGCGTAAGATGGCGGCTCTTTACCTTTTCCTCCGTCTAGCTTCTTCCTTCCTCGTTTTTCGGGGCTTCTTTTGAGATTCCCTTACCTTCGAGGTTGATTTCGCCGACGTGTTCGTCTTCGGAATATCTGGCTTGGCGTTGTCACCCTTACTCGCAGGATTCTCACTTGAGATTCCTTTGAGTGAAGTATGGCTTGGCTTCGACTGTGTATTAGAAGACGGGGAGCTCTTTTCTTCTTAGGCTTATTCTCAGTTGTCAACTCCTCGGGAGACCTGATCCTTTTTGCCTCAGATCTTGTGAGAGAGTCCGATTTTTCCTTTGGAGTGTCGTGGGATTGACTAACTATGATTTCCTGAAGCATCTTTTTCAACTTCCTCCTCTGTGCTCCAGAAAGTCTTTTCTTAGTAATAGGTAGTTTAGCTATGCTATCACTCACCTCTTTCACCATTTGCTCTACTTCATCCTTTTTGGGATTTGCTATAATGGTATTATTATTATTATCATCTGAGGATTCAGAGTCGGAACCCTCACCTATATTTAAAGGCTGAGGTAGCTTAGAGCTCTCTCCGAGTACATCCTTCTCTTTCACACCCTATATTTTGCCAGCGGCATGCTGTACACTTGACGCATTGTCCGCCACGGAGGCCAAGGTACCCACCTCCGTAGTAGTATTCTGCTCACGATTGCAGGATGACGACGACACGTGACTCGCGAGTAGATCAACACTTGCCGCCGGTACTGGGTTATTTAGGCCCTGCACCGTAACTTTATCTTTTTATTTTTATTTTCCATATTTGTTTTTTTTTTTTTCCAGTTTTTTGGTCCGCGGGGAATATAATATTCCCAGGTGGTGGACAATCTGCCCTCCCTCAGCTTAAGTGAAATTAAAGCTGGGAGAGGACAGATGGTCCATCACCACCCCCTATCCGCCACCCGGGGACGCGCTCGGTAGGAAAAATCTGGAAAACTCCCCCGAGAACTAACAAACTAACTAACTAACTAACTAACTAACTAACAAACAAACTAACTAACTAACTAACTAACTAACTAACTAACTAACTAACTAACTAACTAACTAACTAACTAACTAACTACTAACTACTAACTAACTAACTAACTAACTAACTAACTACTAACTAACTAACTAACTAACTAACTAACTAACTAACTAACTAACTACTAACTAACTAACTAACTAAACTAACTAACTAACTAACTAACTAACTAACTAACTAACTAACTAACTAACTAACTAACTAACTAATATCTCTACAAAAATCGGCACAACTTAGTTAGTCTAGAATTATGTATATTTCCGACTTTTGTACTGATCGGACCTCATTTGACCCTAGCCCTTACATAATTCTGCATACAAAACTTTAATATAAACGTAAATTCCTCTATCACAATTTTTAAGTATAACGCCCATATAAATCACTTCCATTGTGAACAAATTGATTTTTGTAACGATACTTATATATTTAAGATCCAAAATTCTATTTGGGGGATGCGATTGTATGGGGAATGGGTGAAATTAATGGACCGTTATCAACCAAAATCAATAGAGGTCATCCTTGTGTCAAAGGTAACAAGTGTATCAAAATTATTTTCAAAATTGCGACCTGTAGTTTTAATTACAACGTTTAAATGGACAGAAGGACAAACGGACGGACATGACTTAATCGATTCAAAAAATGATACTAAGCCGATTGTTTAAACTTTAACTTAATAAGATTAGGTATTCATGCTGATGTATGATAATCAGTTGTTGAACTATTCAGAAAGCTTAATTTTCTTTATGTTTAATTTCATTTTATTATTTTTTAAATCAAGTTTTAAATTTAAATTTTTTAAATCTGTGTATGGTTGTTATCAGTAGATAAACATAATTAAAAAAAACGCACGTGATTATCACTAACAACAGTTAACAGTTAAATAGATCAATATTAACTATTCACTTTGTGTTTAAGTTGTACAAGTAAGAAGTTGTAGTCGGGCGAGGCCGACCATATAATACCCTACAACAGTTATAAGAATAAAATGTAATTTAGTTTTCATAATAAAACATTAAAGTTGATTTCTACCTTGCTTCAGATTTTCTCAAATAGGCTTTATATGGGGCTTGGGGGAAATATGAACCGATCTTTATAGAATTTAGTGGGTGGATTTACGGTTACATAAGATGTATTCATAGCGACATTAGACTTTTTAAGCAAATTGTGGGACATTTAAGTCACATAATTTTGAAAGGGGCTTTGTATAGGGGCGAGGATCAAATGAGGCTCTATCATTACAAAATTCATCAGGATCATCAAGGCTATATAGAACATAGTTGTGCAGTTTTCTATCGAGCTACGAGTATATTAAACATAATTATAATCCTAAAGCCCTATTCGGGGGTTTCAGTTGTATGGGGGTCATTTATCCAGTACTAGTACACCCTATATTAGCCTACATTTCGAAATTCAATTCATTACACAGGCCCATTTAAAAATTTGTTAATTAATAAAAAAAAAAATTACTTACATTTGGACAATTAGTAATAATTATTAAATTTTATTATTTATGTTTTCAGTGTTAAAAACTTATGTTAAATTATTAAATTCGTGTTAGACTCTATATTTTATTAAATAAAAAACTATAATGTAATTTTTATTAAACTTAAATAAAATCATAAAATTTTTTCTGTAAAATTAATTCAATATGTGAAAATTTTTCCGTTTTTTAACAGTTTCGTTTAAAAATCTATAAATATGTCCAGCAAGGAAACACAATAATTAGTTATACAATACATTCCTTATAGTAATATTGCAAATATTAACAAAACACTTTATAAAGGCACTTGAACAATAATTTCCATAATTTTTTTTTTTTAAATAAAATTTAAAAGAAAAACTTTAAGTGCACTTGTGTGTTAATGTTTACTTAAATCTAAATAATATTTGACACTCTACATTTGTTTTTGTAATAAATACTTAGCATTATGTTTCTTAATACAAATTTAGAATTTTTTCCTTAACCTAATATTAGGCAACAAATTAGTTTTTCAAAATAAAATATATCTTAACGATTTCATCTTCTTCCTCTTGCAAACGTAAAATATCGGCCTTATTCATAAAATAATAACTCGGTTGACGACCTTTCAAATCTTTATATGTACGCTTGGCACCATTTTGTATTAAAATACGACTAATACTTTCTATAATATTTGTACCCATGGCATAGTGCAATGCAGTGCGTTCCAACTGAAAATAATTTTTTTAAATTTTATTTTTCTTGTTTATTTTATTTTATAAATTAAAAAAATAGTATTGAACTTACATTATCACCAATTTTTAGAGCTTCCGGACAGAGATTAACAAAATATTCCACAATTTCTACAGATTCCTTCAATATTGCTATGTGTAAAGCTGTTCGACCTGTAATAAGAAAAATGTTAATGTTACTAATTTCTTTTTTTATTTAAAAATCGTTACAATAAACAAATAACTTTCTGTAGTGGAATCGAGCACACCACTCGAATGACCTATCGAACAACAATGATTGAAAAATAAAGCCCAGATCACATCAAGCTACAACTTTATATTAAGTCGTTCTAAAACTTATGTTTTGAAACAGGCAGCCCTGTAGGAAAGGCTTGTAGGCAGTTCTTTGAGTCGCGGGGTCTTAAGTTTAATTCCCACCAGAGACTATTGTATGTTTATTTCACATTTAAATGTAAGAGTTATATAGAACTTGACATGTATATGGACAGATAGATAGATAGATAGATAGTAGATAGATAGATAGATAGATAGATAGATAGTAGATAGATAGATAGATAGATAGATAGAT